CTGGATCCGCTTTCAGTGCTTCCGGGGGTATTCCATCTGGTCCAGCTGCTTTTCCAGCTTTCAGAAGCTTGATTGCATTCATGAATTCAGCTTTCGTTGGAGGATTAATGTCAAGTTGCAGTTGTGTACGTGCTGTTGTTGGTATTTCTGGACGGGTTGTAGGTGGTGGTCGGTTCAAGAGTCCTTTGAAGTGGTCCGCCCATTGTTTAATCTGTCTTTCTTCTTTGGTAATTGGGTTCCCTTGGCTGTCTTTTATAGGTTTCACTTGTGTTGATCTCTTCCCAGATAGAGACTTGGTTATCTGATATAGTGTCCTCAGGTCCCTTTTGCCTGCTGCCTTCTCAGCTTCAGTAGCCAGGTTGTCGTAGAATTGTCTTTTGTCCTTCCTGGCACTCTTCTTCACTTCTTTGTCCAGTGCTGTGTAAGTTGAGTTCAGCGTCTCTTTCTCTTGTCCATCTTTGCATTGAATCATTTTCTCTTTCACTTTTCTCCTCTCCTCTATTAGTTTCCAAGTGTCTGTTGAGAGCCATTCCTTGTCTTGTTTCTTCTTTCTTCCTAAAACCGTTGAGCACGTTTCGTTGAAAATTACCTTCAGAGAGTTCCAATGGTCTTCCACGGATGATTCCTCAGTGGTGCCACGTAGTGTTTCCTGCTTTGCTGTGACAGTTGCAGTGAAAGTGTCCTTTGTGATTGTGTCTTTCAGGTTTTGCGTGTTGAACTTGCATTGTGGCCTATCCCCAGGTATCCTCGAGGCTTTTAGCTTCACCTTGAATGTCCCTTGTACTAGATAGTGGTCTGAACCCACATCTGCTCCTCTCCTCGACCTTGTGTCCAGTAGGCTCCGTCTCCACTTCCTTGAGATTGAAATGAAGTCTATCTGGTTTTTGGTGTGTCCATCTGGTGAAATCCATGTTGCCTTGTGTATATTCCTGTGTTTGAACACACTGCCACCAATCACCAAATCATTGAAGGCGCAGAAGTCTGAGAAGAGTTCGCCATTTTCGTTCATTTCACCGAGGGCCTCACGACCCATGGTGAGTTCTCTTCCTGTATTGTCTCCTCCCAGTTTCGCATTCATGTCACCCATCAGGATGTTGATATCGCTCTTTGGGACGTTGTCCATTACTGTTTGTAGTTGACTGTAGAAATCCTCCTTCTTCTCTTGTTCTGAGACGTTTGTAGGCGCGTAGCATTGAATGATTGTAACCTCTTTTCCTTTTGAGTTGAACCTGGCTGTCATTATCCTGAAGGAGATTGGTTCCTACTGCATGAGAGCTTTAGCTGCTGTTGGTGACATTATGATGGCTACTCCCTCGGTGTGATCGTCCTCTGGGTGACCGGAGTAGATTATTGTCTCTCCAGTTGGTAGTTGGCACCTTCCGCATCCGTTCCATCTGCTCTCACAGATTCCCAACACTTCTATTTTATATCTCCTCATTTCTGCAGCTACCTGAGCCGCCTTTCCAGTTTCGTACATTGTACGAATATTCCACGTCCCCATCCTTATTTTTGCTTTCATCGAAAGAAGGCACATCGGCTGACTGGCTTCCCGAAGGCTTTCACCAGCCCGCGTCATTTCACTTCCCCGATTCCAGCGAAAAATACGGTTACTGTTTGTACTTTTAGAATTTTTAATATATTTGTGTATTGAAGTTTTTGCAGCAATTTGGTTAAGTTTTGGGGGTGGAGTTGCTAGCACCACGCCCCAACCCTCCCTCTTTATCCGGGCTTGGGACCGGCTGGAATACTAGTGACCTAGTAATCTAGGCGAGGTTTCATGCTCCAAGCGGCTAACATTATTGTCTTTATCCTTCTTTAGTCGTTTTTGCAAGATCTTGCAGAGTTCCTGAGTTTTAGAGGTGCCCCCTAGGGCTTAATTTTCCTCAAGTTGTGCCTTCATTTTGTGTGTCTCCTCAAGATATTTAAATGCTTCGTGTATCTGGTGTAATGGAGCGACTTTATTGCATATCCCCTCAATGACGCATGAAACACATTCTCAAGCATCCTCCTGCACCACAACTGCCTTCAGGCCTAGAGACAGCTTTTGACGACTATTCTCCACAAAATCAACACAGTTCAAGCCAAATAGAAACCAGAATCACGTCAAACGCAGCTACCTAGATCAAACGAAACAAATCAGCCAAACTGAAATTAACTAGACCGCGCAAATGTCCTCAAGGTAAAGGTGGAGGCGCCACTTCAAACAGGGGATATGCCATATCATCGCCCGTTACTTCTAAGTTATTATTGGTAAAGTCATTATCCCAGTCGGGGCTTAGCAAGAGCGCTGGTAGGAATTCCCAGTACACATTTCTATAGTACCCATATTGATAGTAAATCAGAGAAATTTTAGTCGTGTGTCTAGTTGTTAGTTGAAGAGGTGAAGGGCAGTATAGTATGTTGCGATCACTGTTGTCGAGTTTATCCCCCACATCTATCGAGATCGGCTCTATTTTGTGGCAGAGGATTAAGTCGAGAATATTGCTATGTTGCGTTGGGAGGCGTACTCACTGCTTCCATCCTCCTACATCTATAGCTTCTAGGAGCTCGTCATGGATTCTAGGTCCAGTGCAGGTATCCCAGTTCACTACGGGGAGGTCAAATTCGCCACAAATTTTTTTGCAGTCGAATTCCAGAGTAGGTACATACTCTAGCATTTCTCCAATAGCCGTATCAGTCGTTTTAGGGCCGTTAGGGGCTCTGTATATACATCCCACTGGAATTTTATTTTAATTCGTGTGGATGCTTATCCACTTAGATTCTGGGAGTTTGTTGATAGTTAGGCTTATAAAAGTATTGAAATCAGTGGATTTAGAAGCATATATTAGACACCCACCTCCTCTTTTTTCCAATCTATCATTCCTGTGGATGTCACAGTTATCAATTGTCAGCTTTGTGTCAGGTATATCATTAGTTAGCAAAGTTTCAGTTACCAGGATCAGTGTTGGCCGTTCCATGTATACCAAGATGCGAAGGGAAATTATTTTGTTGAGGAGAGACCGAGCATTTAACGGCATAATTTTCAGAAAACCAGGGTTGTTGGGAGGATAGTTAGTGAGTTTTCTTGTTATTTTCCCTAACTCCTGGTTGCCTATATTATGTGTCAGTGTCAGCGTGTCTACTATTCCCTGAACAGACTATGCTGGGAGAGGGGCTATTGTTTGCTGCAGCCCAAAATAATCCCCTTGCGAATATTGGTTTCTGGCATCATTGCGTGAGTATCTGGATTCATTTCTTGGCATTAGATAGTCTGTTTTACTGTTCAGACTGTAATTTACATGACCAAAGTACCCTGTGTTTAGGTTGTTTTTAGGGTAGTGCGTGATAGGTCTTTCATAGTTATACATTTGTTGACTCATTTCGTGTGTATACATAGAAGGACCGTGAGCCAATCTATGCCCGTTATGCCGATGGGGCTTTACGTAACTACTACGAGGGTTCCGGAATACATTTCCGTTTATATGGTACCTAGTATTGTCCCGTCTAGTCGTCCATGTGTTCTTGTTATTCCTTATGGGTCCCGTTCTCAGGTTATATGTGCCTATAGGTATATTAGAACCTTGGCTATCACGGATATCGTGGGTCTCATTCTGCTGTTTAATCAGCTCGGCGCCCCTTGAGTGTCTGATAGCGTGTGATTTTGTGTGGATAAAGCTATTTTTGCGGTTAGTTCTCACCTCGTATAGTCTTTCGCCTTCAGTCTGTAAATTACTCTTAGTTAGAAGAAGAGCACTTCCACTCACTTGTTCCGTCTTCTTTATGGAACCTGCAACAATGCATGCATAGTTCTTTTTAGGATTGCATAGGGCTTGTTGAGCTTGTCGCAAGGGAGGTATATGGACGCCTGTGGAGAGACCTTGATTTCTGGGGTCTTTTTCCGACTTCCACAGTGAGACTATCTTTCTTGGCCCTGGGTGCAGTGTGATCTGCCGATATTTGCAGGTTATCGGTAGTGGGAGCATCCATGTCTACTTCATGTGTAGGGTCGGTAGATTTCCTAGGAGTGTTCTCATGAACTTCGGGACCCATTCCAGTGTTACTACTCCTTTTGGGTTTCAGTTCACCCTTACATGTCGTTTGTTCACCTAGTAGAATGCAAGTGTCACTTTGTGCTTGAGTAACCTTGGATGCTTCGTCACTGGCATCATTCATGATTTGTGGTATAGTCGTGTTTGTATCTGAGGTGTTTCTAGCTATTCGTCGTCGGTTGATCGCCTTGTTCGAGACTATTTTAACATTTTTGAATTTTGTAGAAGAGGCCAAACTATCACCAGATTTCCTAAGTTGTTCGAGGATGCATGACTGCAGGTCTTCAGCCTAACCGTTCGACTTAAACAGTGAAGGTCAGCACCGATGTTGAGTGTAGAACGCTGTGGACTGATCATTTTCGGGGATCATTTACTGTCGCATGCAGATTACATCACAGTTTCCTTCGGGAACCCAAAATGTTCAGACCACTTGTTTGATGTATTTCGCACCACGGGAATCAAAAGGCAAGCAAGATTGTATGACACCACGTATTATTGATTAGTGCAAGTGACTGGAAGCCACTCACTGCGTCACTGAGCACCTGAATGATTAGTTTAGCCACAATTAGGTAAAATCTGAAGCTGCATAGCTTTCAAATTGCGAATTTCATTTTGACGGATTATTTGCAAAATATCATATCTATTTCTTCGCATTGAAGTATCCATCTGGTTGAATTTCAAATCAGGGTTCCTAACGGCGACACACTTTATCCAGAGATATGGTCCATGTAGCATGCCGTGAATCAGTAGATTTTTCCATTCTATATACTGATCCAACGTGAAGTAAGGTATAATTTTCACTGCACTGGAAATGGGTGTCAGTGTTGGTCCAAACGCTTGCCTCACTTGACAGTGATTTTCGGCCGGAATGAAAAATTTCACTCCAGAACCGTTTCTAGCAATAAGGAAGCGGGGCCGAATCAATTAATCTGGTTTGACGCAACTTAAAATTTATTGGACATGGGTGGTGTGCCCGCCAATAACGAAAGTCGTGCTACTGTGTGTGTTGTGGTGAAAACAAAACTTGTATAAGTAAACGTTAGTGAATGTTTTTCTTTTTCTCCCTGTGGGAAGGCACTCCGAAGTGGAATACCTGAATCAGGGGACACAGTAGCTGCAAGGTTTGAATCTTGAAGAAGATAATAAGGACTGTAATACTTAATCCTCGCACCTTTTAAATTTTGACTTGAGTGGAATAAACGTTCTCCACGCAGCTCGTGTTCTGCTTTCACTATCTTAGTGTCTGTTGCTCTGCTGTTTGCAGTGGTAACCTTGGTGACTTAATCATCCTGTCGTGTAATTCGTTTGATAGACTGTCATATGACCTTTTATGTGTGCTATATTTTAACATTACCAGTTTTTTTATGGGGAACAGTTTGAAACTGTCTTGATACTGGTTGGTTCGCCTAATACTGTGCAGAAATATAATATATTTTAGAATAAATTTATATTGTCTGAATATTTTTTGTTCCCATACAGTGTTTAACATTTCAGTTGCTGAAATGCCATGCTGAAGTCAGTGGTTTCCTTTTATTGGTTTCGTAAACAGTTTTACTCATCTCGGATATTTATATATAAACTATATATACTAGCTAGTATGTGTAATGCATTACACATACTAGCTAGTATAGCTAGTACCACAGGCCTAATACTACTACCCATGGGTAGTAGTATTAGGCCTGTGGTATTCGTTTTCAGTGGAAGTTCGACATTGCTGTGATAGAGTCGACTTGTGCTCAAAAGATGTCCTTCAACAGAGGTTCCCACTAGTTCATGATTCCTTGGAAGGAACAAGCCGAATTTAGGTGGTTCGAACGCGTTTTTAAAAAAGTTCCAGGCAATGCCTGTGTATGTGGGTGGTTTTAAGATGAAGGAAGGAGTAGGGAAAGATTAATTATAGACACCCAAGCGTATGGCAAACCAAGTGACTTTGAATGACTTTGCAGAAATATTCACATCACGAAATTGTCCTATTGATATAAGAATAGAACTTGTGCACTGTGGTAGAGTATAATCCTCATCATATATGATTATGGGTAATAAATTGTGCTCGAAACGTCATCAGTAAATATTACCGTATAACACTGTGAGACTTTATCAAAATAAATTTTACCCACAATGAAATTGTTCTTCCGACTCCAAAAAAGTAAGATGCAACTTTCTAGCACAATACCGTTTTTTGGTCTCTGAGGCGACAACGGGAGATAAGCTCGCTTGATCCAACCTGCTTATTTGCGGTTAAAAGTCGCTTGATCACTTTGTCCTGCTTTTTTGATGTCTTTCTAACATACATGGTTTTTATGTAGTATGGACTCGATGCTTGGATTCCATGTTTCATGTGAGGTTCGATACTTTGGTTATAATACCCGTAATATATCACTGCCCGAAGGCTGCAAAAGCGTCGTAGAAAGCCTTTTTTATTCCGAAGCCTTCTCTACTTTAAGGTTCACTTCAGTCTCCAGATTATGACATACAACTGCTCCGGAATCGTTATACACAATAACCGTTGTTAGTAGATCCATTTGTTGAGTAACAATGAATGCCTTTAAAAGCGACCGTATTCATATTCATTTTCAAAAACCAGCGCTAACATCATTCAATCAGCTGATCTGAACTTGCAAAACAGGTGTCACTACCATTGTATAGAGCCTTACATCTTATTTTCGAGCTCACTTCCTGGAAAAGGTCTTTCGTGTTCCCTGCTGAGTCACACCAGCTGTGTGAGGGTTGTTTATACTCTCCACACTTCCTTACCATTCTTTTGATCCCGACACTGACAAGGTTCGGAATAAGAAACCATACTAAAAGCCCTGCTAAGTTCAGGGAATATTGCATATGCCGGAATATTTATATGAATTGCTTGAACCCAACTTTTTATTGCCGAAAGGTTTTAAAACAAAAATAACTGGCTATTTGATGTCGTGTTCAGTGTGTTACTGGTTCATTTAGAATTTGTAAGAATGACATTAATAATCTTTTTCAAGACTACTAGTACAGAGAATAACCTGCTTTTTAGCAGTCTAAGGGAAATAAACGTTTTCCCGGTGGTCTAGTATAAAGTGAAATGAAAACCTTTGCATAGGATTTAGATTAACAGTTCCCCCATTTATTATCTATGTATCAATCAGTCTGCTAATCCAGAAGTATAACACACGGTTTCACCAAACAATCAGTACTTCATTCAGCAAATATAACAAGTAATGAAAACTTGGTATTAATTGTTTACTTGCCAGTTTAATAAACTGGAATCCATTATCGTCATGAAATACCAATAAACTTGAAACTGAAACCAGTTGACTGAGGCATATGTATTTCACATCCATGTAGTTCTTGAGAAGTTATCATTTACATACAGACTTACCTTGGCTCCAAAAAGGAGGAATATTGAGATTTTTCTTCCACCCAAAGTTCAGAAGTCTTAGATTTTTCTCCTCAATTGAATTTGTACATTCATTAGAGGGTGGTGATTTTTGAGTCTTTGTACAATGTCGATAGTTGAAATATTACCAAAAACAACATAGTCATGCTATCTTCATTATTTATGTCGCCACCGGAGATATTATTATTATTGCTGCTGCGGTGTTTAACACTTCGCTAACACACAAATCCCCTTCATTGTCCACAGTTTCATGTATATTTGAAGTTATGCATGTTAGGGCAAACCCTAAAGAAGATCTAACTCGAAACAATGTGATTCATGTCGTCTTTTGGTTTACCACTTGCCAACTCCTACTCTATTAACTCAGAATAGCCATAGGTTTGGAAGCTATTTGGTTATTGAGCATTTTAATACAAATTAGACAGTTATCAAATGAGGATACATAAGTTGGTTAATTAATCGATTTAGGAGTTTATGAGAGAGTGATCACTACAATCAGATACTGATTACTTCTCCTATGATCGTAGTCAAGCGCTTCTGCTCTGCGTAGACCTACTACATCAGGCGTTATGTGAATAGAGTTAATCATAATTCTTAGTAGATTTCATCTGCATCTAGCCCATAGTCGTTAAAAATGTTTAAGTTTATAGTATTCCATTATTAGTGACAATTCCTGTGAATATCATACCCATTGAAAATTTCACTCACTAGGGTTGAAAACCACCTTACCTGCTTAAGCGCAAGTCTACCAGCCATACATTTTATTTCTCATGACGTGGGTAAGTGAATTATGTTGCAGACCTTCCAGAAGTCCTATATGGTTCATGGGGTATGGATTTTTATCGGCTTGTGGATGTATATAATTATTATTACTGCGAAATTCGTTCTCCTTAACATTGGACTTTTGTTAAATAAACCTTTTGTCCTCTTTGTAGGCTCTTTTTGACATCAACGCCACAGTATCATACTTAGGTATTTATGGCCTCCTTTATGGTTGTGAGACCTGGCCATTGAGAGTGGAGGACATGAAAAGGCTAACTGTCTTTGATCATAGGTGCCTGCGTTCTATCTCCCGTGTGAAGTGGTATAGTAGGGTAAGCAATATTGAGGTTAGACGTTGAGTTCTAGGTAAGGAGGGGAAATCAATCGACGAGGCTGTGAAGCTACATCGACTGAGATGGTTAGAACATGTGCTACGTATGCCTAGCCATCGCCTTCCTCGACGGGCAATGTTAGCTGACATAGGGTCAAGTTGGAAAAGAGACAGTGGTCAAACCAAAACATGACTGCATCAGTCAATGAAATCCACAACAGTAAGTTTACGCCAGGCACGTAGGAAGGTGTGGACTGGTTGGGGTCCTTGGGACGGTAAAAACCAATGGCTGGAGACGATTGGTGATATGGCTCAAAATCGTTCTCAGTGATGGCGCAGATGCATCCACTCCTTGTGACTTATGATTCCCAATGAAACTATATAGTTCTTCGTTATTACTATTGCTTTTGTCTCATATCCCTGTCTACTGTCTCAATTTTGCATTTCTTCTACTTTCTTCTCTTGCTTTGTGTGCTACATGAAGGGAGAGTGGCGACTCAAACTGCTGCACATCGGTGCAAAGATCTGTGTTGAAAATATATAGCTATTTATGGTCGAAACATTGTGTTTCTGTATCTTTACTGTTCAGCAGGTGTATGATAGCAGTAGGTTGGAAGAAGGTGGACTATTGCCTAGTTTCTCAATGTTCTTTTGCAATCTAATGTTCCTTAACCAGGTCATTCGAAAAGACATCATTGTAGTTATTAATATGTGCTTGTTTGTCGTTTTTTGATACAACGAATTATTTCATCTAACCTAATGTTAATTTTGTTGTTGTTGAAAACTTCAGATATCTGTAAATTATGCAGTTAAACCAAAGTGAAGTTATAACTATTCAAGCAGGATCTTTGGCTAACCAAGTTTGCACACACTTTTGGAACTTACAAGAATATGGCTTTACTAACAAGCCAACCACTACTGAATGTGAGTTTCCCTTTACATATCAAGTTCTGTTTGATGACAGTACCCGCAAAATAAAACCACGTGCATTGGCTGTTGATGTGCGTGAAACTGTTGATTTTGGAACAAAACTTAATTCACAGTTAATTCCAACCTTATTTGATATTCCATTATGGAATAGTCAGGTGGACCAAGTTATACGTTCATCACCTCAGTCAAACGGAAATAAACATCTTTGTTCTAATTGGACTAACTGTTTATCGCCTTCTGCACACCGAACATGGTGTCATGATGATATTCTTTACAAACTGCCAGTCTCATTACAACCTATTCCTACTGAGTTCACAGATGATAAGACTGATCAACCGAATTCTGTAGTCAGCCTTTCTACATTCACTGAAGTAAGTGCTAATAATTTTCTTGTTGTTTATGGATCGCAACTTGTAGTTTTTCACATGCTTCATTCTACTATTATAAGGATTTCAATACTATCTGTAATTTACTTAGGTATAAACGCCCATCTGGCATAATAGCGCCAATGTTTGATGTTTCATATCACAGCTCTACATTGTTGGCTAAAACCGCTCACATACTTTCAATTCAGGTTAAAACCAATCTAGCAAATGAGACGAAAGTTTGAAAGGAAATCGTGGCACTCAAACACAATAAGATATGCAACTCAGGCTACTTATCCTCATCTCTCTAATTATGTAATGGATTGTATTCACAAGACTGCTTACATTCTCTGGTGTGTGTTTAGGCGGGACACAAATTGTCTTTCGATTGCTGATATCATCTTGTGATAACGGATTTGATCACTACTTGGACATGTGTTACGAATGTCGACGCAAGTGAACGCGCGGTATGACCAATGTACTCAGCTCCACAGAAGCAAGTGAACTGGTATGTGCATTGTAATGCAGTCCAGTATTAAAGTTTGTCTTTCACGTGCCACCCGACTAGTTTCTTGAAAGAAAATGTTACTGATGCTGTTGCAGTAAAGTATATTCTTCCAGTTCACTTGCTGCTCCGGAACCAGGGACATTGACTATGCTATGCGTCTGCTAGTAAAGCGAGCTCGGGAATACTATCCGGCCTGGCAAGCAAAGGGAGAACGTCGTAGGTGTCTTTATAGCTCAGTAACGGAACATAATTGCTTCTTAACTGTAATAATAAATTTATTTATTCCCTTAACATTTTTACTTATTTTGTAAATTTCCATTGTATTATTCATAGTTAACTGTTTAGTTTCTTACTACCCGGTTTTGCTACCTGATGTGTAGATATCGAATGTGGTAACGCATATGCGTGTGGCAGTAATGTGAGATTCTATATTGATACGGTCCTTCTAAAATTACTCTTTGAACTTTTTATCAAAGTTTTCCTCATATTTACAGAAGAATAAATAGGAAAAGATACTAATACTTGAGTTTGTATTACCCAACTGTTCTGTAGATCTGATTGATTGGCTGAATTTCAAGCCGCCACACTCCGTGCGGTATGTAAAGGTAGAGAAAAATGGGAAAAAGAGGATCTAACAGAACTATAATAAGCAAAAATATGCGGGTGAAAGAACAGTAACATGGAAAAATATGAGGGTTTAACAGATGTTTAGGAGGTCACAAAAAGGGAATGCATCCGCGCCATCGAGAACGATTTTGAGACCCATATCAGCAACGGTCGTCTCTAGCTATTGGTTCTTACCATATAGAGGACCTCATACCAAAGATCAAATGGGTAATCAGAAAGAATTAGTAACAAAAATCTCTGCAGTCGAACGAACCAACCAAGAGCCGATCACTTAACAAATATGCAGAAGAAAATGGAGATGGATCGGGCATACATTGAGGAAACCGTCGAATGAAATCGCGCGGAAAGCAGGCCATCGCTCGAGTGGAATCCAAATGGGAAGCAACGAGTGGGTCGTCGGTGCGAGGTTGACATGGAGGAGATGAGAGATTATGGTCAATCGTGGACCTATCTGAAGAAGATGGCAGAAAATAGAAAGTGGAGATGTGTTGTTGAAGCCCTATGTTTCACTCGGAATCCAAGGGAATAATAATAATATAATAATAGGGGACCCCAACCGGGTAGTGTATAGCTCCCGATGGGGCTGCCTCAAACCAACAGTCAGAGACTTGATGGATTGATTCCGGGTTTTGATTTCACCATCCTTAACTGTTTTTCAACCCAACCCTATATAATTTAACATTGCTCTACGAGGAAGACAGTAGCATAGCATGCGTAACACATATCCTAACCATCTCAGTCAATATAGCTTAACAACCTCGTTCATTGACTTCCCTTCACTACCTATCACTCTATGCCTAACTTCAATATTACTCACTAATGTTTACTAGTGGTGTATTAATCTCATGTCAGTAAATTCGGGTTATCTTTAAAAGAGGAATTTACTGCTCTTAATTATTTTTCTTGGTGTGATTACTCGAAGAATGGATATGGACTACTTAATACATTGATTCTAGGTTTCGCAGAGGCAATAAATAAGTGTACCGTCTGACCGAAATTTCAGATTTGTAAGGGATTATTTGTGCGTTGGTAGCACAGCGGTATAGTGCTCGCCGACTACGCCTGACGTGGCCCGGGCTTCGATCCCCGGCAGCCAACACACTCCTTTGCCTCACTCAGCCAGTAATAAGACTGGTAAAGAGGGAAGGTTGGGCATCAGGCTAGCAACCTCATCCCATAAAAATAAACAACACTGCTACCGAGACTTCAAGTCTCTAGCTTGAAGCGCTATGTTCCACTGGGAGCGTGAATGAATAAAAATAAAAAAGAAAGGATTATTTCTGGCGTCGTTGTAGCAGGGAAAACAGTATTATTTAGTGGGGAAATCAATTGTTCTTCAATCACAACTCTCCCCTTGTATCTCATCAGGCAGAACCAGAAGCCTATATAGAAAACTATATGCTCGCACTAGCAAGTACAAAAACTCAACCATACCCTACTTAGCTCGTGTTCTGTGCGATAAAGAAAGCATTAGGCGTGATACCTATAACTTATTAAATATTTAGTAGAACAATTGGATCTCGTCTTTCCAACTCATATCATTTATAGGTACAACGTTTCCTTTCTTTCTTTTCCTTTTCTTTTTTTCTGTTATGTGCTGCTTTGTTTCTCTCTTCCTTACAAACTCTATTTAAAACATTCTTCGTTCTTTCACACTCTGTATATCTCGACCTTTTTGTTACCGCTTACGCCAGTAAATATGCTAGTATATACTTTTCTAACACCTTCAAACATTCTGTTCAATTTTTGGCTTTGCTACCGACATGCCAATATGTTGTTGTCATGATGAACTGAGATTACCTTGATCTATGTAAAATTTTATTTATTGATAATATACTAACTGGATGCAATACTGTAGTAAAATGCTGAGAATTCCATTCTGTATCACAAGTACTGTTTTGGAATAAAGCAAATTATTGTTGTTATTATTAAATTGTTCCTAGTAATTTTTTTTCACACTAAAACTTTCCTGTTTTAATATGACCTATATTCTATTTATATATCAGGATTTATTTATTTGCAATATTTGTTTTTCTTTTTTTAGGGTCAAGATGTTTATCGTTCTGGAAATCATGTAGCCGATGAATGTGATGATCGTATTCGTCGTTTAGCAGAGAGTTGCTCATTTGTGAATAGCTTTCAGGTAGTCGTGGATGCTGAAGACGGCTTCACTGGTGTTGGTATCCGACTTTTAGAAAATATTGTTGAAGAATTTCCTAAAGCATTCATTTTCTCAGTTCCGCTTTACCACTCATCAGCTTTATCACATATGTCTACACGTTTACAAAAGATAGCAACTGTGAATCAGCTGTGCTTAATTAACAACTTAGAGTCTGGCGATTTTATTAGTCATGGCTGTTGGTTACCTATGGATGTGTCAGAGCTATCTGATCATTGTCATGTTTGTCAGAAAATGAGTGTTCTAGCCTCTGTTCTCGATACAGTGACAACACCCACCAAGTTGGCGTATAAATTTGGTGGTCTAAACATGAACAGTCTGTGGTCAGTGACAGGTTTTGCACAGGGTAGAAATGTAAGTCACTTCGTTGTTTTGTGTATATGATTATTATTATTATTGTTCTGTGCTGAAATAAATGTGAACATTTACACGGTACTACTTGTATATTATTGTCAGTAGAAGACATGCCACAAGTTTTAACGCCAAGCTTCCTACTCATCTACAGCTATCAAAGAGCTTGTATACAACCCAACAGTCGGCTGCATCCTACTTTGCTACTTTGACGTGAACTGTGAAATTAAAAGGTATTGGAGACTATTTTATCCCGTACCTGTGTAATAACAAGGTCAGGTGTTGCGTGTTAGGCAAGAATGAAAAGCTAATTGGTGAGGTTGTTAAGATTCATTGGTTCAGGTGTCTAAGATGCGTGTTCGATTCCCGACCAAGGCACTCCTAAACCTCACCTTGCCTAGCTTATCAGCCAGCAGTAAGCTCGGAAAAGAGGGAAGGTTGGGTGTGAGACTAACAACTCCACCTCGTGGAAACACCATCATACACTGCTACTGAAAGTCAAAGCTTCAGAACTCAAGGGATGAGAAAAAAATTAAGGAAACTATTATTGTTACCATTATTGTCATTATCATTGCCCCCATGAACCACTTGGTGCCGCCGATGGTGGGTAAACTTCGGTCTTTCTGTCGAAATGCTTTCTTGTCGCCAGAGGTTCATAGCCATCCTCTCCAAAGTAAGTCGTGTTTGCTGCCTTCACGCGGCATGGGCATTTCTCACATAAGTGGAAGGGTGAGTACAAACGTTTGGCGGTTACAACCGGATTGGTAGGTGTGGTGATCTATCTGGATAAGCTGGAGAACCCTGATTCCAAACTTGCAGAGTACATGGGATCCAGAATCAGGATGGATCAAATTGTATGTGAACCTGTCTTGGTTACCAGAGGCTATGGGGATGTGGCTCCTGACGCTGCTCCACTGCGTTGTGGGTCAGACTTCAAGCTGAAGGATCGGTGAGTGGGGGGTTGGCTCCTTAAAATAACCACCTGTTTCAATTAAGTCATCCAGACAGTATCGCAGCCCATACACAAACTATAAGATTTTGTTTGATGCATCCCTTGGTGCCCATAATGTACTGCGTTCGTATTTTATTAATAATAATAATAAACGTTAAGCATGATGAGTCATTCAGTGAGTCATTATTTCTGAGCTGATAGGTTTAATTGCGAAGCTTTCGTCGTCTTTCGGGACAACATCTTCAGCGCAAGTTTTAGCGTAAAATGAACTAATTTGGAAGACATTTATGTCAATACAGATATAAATCGACTACCAGTCACGAGGACGGTTGCCAGGAGACACAATTCCATCATTCATGGAGAATTTAAATCAGTTCATTTTATGCTTAAATTTGCGCTGAAGATGTTATCGAGAAGGACAACGAAAGCTCCGCAATTAAACCAACCAGCTCAGAGAACACAACTAATTGCAAGTCAGTATGTGGTGAGAGTAATATTTTAGCAGCAATTGACGTCGATGTTTACGTCCCAAATCGGGGTCATGAGAAAAAACAAGCACAAAGCCTAACCGTGAGGAACTCAACAACCAATCACAGCAGACTTAACGTGTGCAAATACGATTCGCAGATATATGGCGTGACTTTCTAAGAAACGGTAACATGCAGTACAGAATAACCTTCAGCAAGAAAACCAATCAGAAGCCGTTGCTTCTCTGCTAACAATAACGCTAATAATAATGTACATAAAAATCTATAAATATCTGTTGATTTTCTCAATAAACGATCTGTTGCCTGGCCCTTGTTCGTTGAAAAGTGTCTCTTACCTGAATATTGTATCCTTATTATTATTATTGTTATTATTATTAATTCGTTATTTATGTTGCTTCGAAATCTTTTGTTTTACATATATTTTAGATGCTTACAGCACAAGCGGGTATTTGCTGTCACGAGAAGGCAGACGACCAACTCTCCTCCTGGTACAACTTTAATCCTTATTATAATCAAGGGAAAAGAATAGCCGGTGAAACTGTCTCACCTCAACCAGTACTATGGCGTCAGTTAATGTCTCGAGGTGTTACAGATTCTAAACTAATGGATAATTTATGGAAGATGTGTAATAATGTAACAAACAGCAACGATACAACTAGCTCTGTTAAAAATAATAATAACAATAATAGTAATAATAACCATGTTAATAGTAATAATGCACTAGGTAATCTGCACATCCCATCTTTATATACCTCAGGATTAAGTCGTCTTGTATACACCTTGCCTGAGTATCCTTTACAGACAACATCTACCCGAATGAATCAAATCAATTCGTCATCATCATCGTCATCAGCGGCATCATCGGCATCAAATTGTCAACAGTATCCAACTATGCGTACCGCCTGCATAGTCGATGTGCCTAACACTAATTCATATGAAGCGAAAGCATTAGAAAAACTAGTGAAATCATTACTGCCGTATAAATCTCATCCAATAGACACGCTAATGGAATTAGAGGTGTGGCGCGAGTTTTTAGAGTCTGCACAAACACGTCTAATCGATGCTTATACAACTAAATAAAACTCAAACACGTGTGTATAATACCCTTATACACTTATAGAGGACTTATTGCTATTTTTCTGTCCTACAACCTGGCATTTTCTTTTCTTTTGTGATAGATTTTCAATTGTATATATTTATAATTGAACATATGTTGTCTGATAATTGACGCTTCTTTCACGCCTTCATGTCTTAGATTGTTCTTGAAGAGGAAAAAAGAGTAATCAATCTCTGCTGTTTTGTCCAGTTGTGTATATGGATTGGTGTTTCTTTCTTTCTTTGTCTCCGTCTCTCTTTATTGTAAATTGTCTCATGCATTTCAATTTCTAGACAATATTCTGGTCGATTAAAGTTGATCTCTAACGCAAAAATTGTTCTCCCATTTTGAAATGAATAAATCTGTGACAGTTTTTTCTGCTCCCGCCTTTTTTTGTGTGTGTTTATAACACTTCCTTCCTTCAGATAATGTGACGATTGATTAGTGAATTCACTACTACTACTTCTGTTTCCTATTTTGTTCTATGAGTCTGCTCAAATATAAATTATGCTCAGATATAGGGACTTATTGTTATTAGGGCTTTAACAGCATATCTTCATTTCATGGTATTTTCTACTGGCCTCTTTAGCTGCCTAAAAGCTTTGGTTAACCTCCTCACACAATCTCCTCCACCATGTCACCATTGGACCTAAATCCCCACTCGTCGGCTCTCAATCGAGTTGCATTTCAAAGCCTGACATGTGATATTACTAGTCCAATGGTCGTCTCCTCAGAGGAGTATGTTCAATGTATCTCCACTTCCTTCTGCGTTATTCCCAACTAACAGTGGGGTTAGACAGGGTCGCCCAATTTCTCCATTTCTCTTTAACTTTGCCATCGATAACAATCTGGAGTCAGCTGTGAAGGATGTGCGTGAAGGTGGTGTAGATCTGCTCCCTGGATAGAGACTTTTTGACCTCGAGTATGCAGATGGTATCGTCTTATTGTGCGATAGAATGCATGCTGCCCAAATCGTACCTAATCAGTTGGCGATCAGTGTCTGTAAGTATAGTATGTGCTTTGCGCCCTCAAAGTGAAAAGTACTGTTACAAAATTGGCAGGAGCCTGTACCTGCACTCACTCTTGCAGGTGAACCGCTTGAAGTTGTTGATAAGTTTGTGTATCTGGGTAGTTGCGTGAATGCTGGCGGAGGTGTGATGGATGAGATTTCCAACCGTATAATGAAGGCTAGGGTGACATACATCAACTTGAGCCACCTCTGGCGCCGTCGCGACGTTAGCCTGGCTGTCAGAGGTTGGGTATACAATGCTTCAGTGCGGACTGGTTTGCTCTTCGCCTGTGAAACCTGGCCTCTCCGGGTTGAGGATGTGCGGCAGCTCTCCGTATTCGATCATCGTTTTCTTCGCATGATTTCTTGTGTTAGATGGCATCATCGCGCTAGTAGTTCCGAGGTTCGGTGGCGTGTGTCTGAACACAGTGGAGATCACCATTCGTTGAGTGTCGTCATCTGGAAACACCAGCTTCGGTGGCTGCTTGAAAATGTGTTGCGAATGTCATCTCAGAGGCTTTCGTACAGGTCACTGTTTGCTAGCCTTGGGACGGGATGGAAAAGGCGGAGGGGTGGTCAGCCCATGATGTGGCGTCGTGGGATGAAGGTTATTTGTGTTGGGTTAACATCTGTTTGTGCGTCACGACTCGCTGGTTGCAGTTCAACAGATAGCTCGAATTAATGGCTCGAAACGTTATAGTATATGGCCAAGAATCGTAGTCAATGACGAACGTGCTGCAATTTCCTTCTTTCTTCCCTTCCCAATGGTAGTTGACGAATGTTGTTTGAACTTGTTAAGTATGACTGTTTTCCTTCCAGATGAAGTTTTTTATCCGTTTTCCACCTACATTTTTACTTTTAATCTATGTTGTTTTATTATTATTGTGTGGCGCATCTTCTTGGTGCCATATTGTACCAAGTTTTGTGATAATAATAATTATTATTAAGGCTTCAACAGCGTATCTTCATTTCATGCTGTTCTCTGCAGGCTTCTTCGGCTGGCTCCACAACTGCCTAAAAGCTTTGATTAACCTCCTCATACAATCTCCTCCACCATGTTACCATTGGACCTAAATCCCAATTCTTCGTTTCTCATTCGAGTTCCATTTGAAAGCCCAGTATGTGATATTACTAGTCCAATGGTCGTCTGTTCAGATGAGTATGTTCAATCCCTACCCATTTCCTTCTGCATATTTGTTGGGCGATGGGCAACAGTAAAGAATAGACACTAACTTCAGACGACCTTGAAACAGCCAATCAGATCCTTCTAGGTGGAAAGTGGTACCTAATTTACAAAGAAATGTATCTACGATATGTGATAAAAATGAATCATATAGGGTATATATCTCTAATATGCTGCAAAAACTGGCCCCAGATTGTCATAGAAATGGTTATAGGCATATCAAACCAATGTATTCTCTATTTCTCTAGCTGTAGTAGATACTGGTTGCATATACGCAATATATTACTAAGTGAGAGCTTTGATGTCGAGAAGAAAGTGTCTAAAAAAATCACCAATTATGTGCAATTTATACAGACTTTCTCATATAAAGTGGTTGCATCTGAATGTATAACCATCAATAGCCCGGCGATACTATTTCAGAGTCATTATCCCTCCACGTGTGCACGTTTTATTCTACCCTATCAACACAGTTTCCACAGAGAAGACAAAAGCCAAATCTAGGAGACATTTTCAACGAGGATTATGACTAGCAATCATTTGTAATGCTGAGCTATCTGGTTGGTCAAATCAAAGTCATTTGACCTTAGTGTCTATTGTTTACTCTTGCCAGGCGATAGGTTGGTTGGTGTTTGGTTTGTTGCCAGAGTTCCGTGTTGCTAATCTTTTTTGAGCAGCCATTTATTCTTCAGTATTTAGCAAAGGCAGCTATTGATGAAATTTTGCGGTGGCCTATTCGAAATGCTTTTGGTGACGCGTTCACCAATTCTCTAAATTATATTGAAGCACTGACTTGCCATGAGTGTTGAAAATCCGAATTTTGTTCTTCGTGCTGGATGGAGCAGATTTCCACACTGATTTCAGGATATTGACGGTCTGTCTTGCTGTTTCGATCGTTCCTGGCTTTAATATCATCTGTGTCGACTGCCTGTAGTTGAAATGGTGCTGAAACGGGTGACTTCATTCATATTTCTCCGGTTGATCGTGATTGACGCTTGTCGTTGTTGTTGTTCGTTAGGTATCTCCTCTGTCTTCTTTGTATTCACTTGAAGTCCTATCTTTGCTGCCAGCCTCTTCTGCCAACTTGTTCGTTTTCGCCTGTAGATCTTTGACTTCGTGTGATTATTAAACAGATAGGACTTAGGTGTCTTTATTATCAAAAGCAGAATTGAAGATATGTATAGCTGTGAGGATTACGTGTGACAACTAACTCGTGTACATGTTCTACTTTCGTAGGAGTCTTTACTAATCTGACTGCTGTAGTAATTTGGTGAGAGCTGTCTGCTAGCCAAAATTGTAGACAACAATTTACATCAATGTTTACGTCCCGAATCGGGATCATGAGAAAAAACAACTTCAAAGCTTAACCTTGAGGGACTCACCAACCAATTACAGCAGACTTAACGTGTGCAAATACGATTCGCAGATATATAGCCTGACTTTCTAAGAAACGGTAACAAGCAGTACGGAATAACCTTCAGCAAGAAAACAACCAATCAGAAGCCGTTGCTTCTCTGCTAACAATAACGCTAATAATAATGTACATAAAAATCTATAAACACCTCTTGATTTTCTCAATAAGCCATCTGTTGCCTGGCCCTTGTCTTTTGCCGTTACGGTAGTAGTGTAACAGCAGAACGCGGTGATGATATTTGGTAACAGAATTGTTATATTGGAATATGATGTGCAGTTATAGCAACATGCAGGAACCCTACATTGAAATCTCCATTTGCTCATTTTCTTTGGTCTTCGCTATGCTGTTTCATACAAGGAGCGCTTTCATTTCCCCTCTTCATCATTTAATCCCTCGCTCCGCTATTCGGTATTCTTGTGGAAGATATAACACACTACTTACAAATCCTTGTCAGTAGCACATTTCACAAGGGCACATAATTACTTGACCGGCTTAGATTAAAATCTCTGGAGATTATGGATACATCTTGCAAGTTGGTACCAGGAAGTACATAAAGCAGGAGTGATAACAGGATTTCCTCTCAACTATCTACAAACATTAACAAATTTAGGACTGTGTATTAAAAAATTTTATTGATATAAGTATAAAACTTGGGCACTGTGGTAGAGTATAACTCCATTATGGATAAGATTTTATTTTGATAAATCACACAGTGTTACACAGTAATATTAACTGATGATTATGAGCAATAATTTGTGCTCGAAACGTCATGAGTTAATATTACTGTGTAACACTGTGTGATTTATCAAAATAAAATCTTATCCATAATGGAGTTAAATTTCACTCAACAACCAATTGCGATTCCGTGCAGCTGGCTGTGAGCCATACCTGTTGTGTTTGAAGGCTAGTGATACTGTAACGACAGAAGACAAGGGCCAGGCGACAGATCGTTTATTGAGAAAATCAAGAGATAATTATAGATGGACATTATTGTCAGCAGAGAAGCACCGTCTTCTGATTGGTCGTTTTCCTAATGAAGGTTATTCCGTACTGTTTGTGACCGTTGCTTACAAAGCTATCTATATATCTGCGAATCGTATTTGCACACGTTAAGTCTGCTGTGATTGGTTGGTGAATTCCTCAAGGTTAAGCTTTGCTATTGTTTTTTCTCATCATCCCGATTCGGGACGTAACATTGACGTAAAGTAGTGTCTACAGTTTTGGCTTGCAGCTAGCTCTCATCACAATACTACCTGGTTGCTCAAATCTCAATAGGTGCTTGGCTGAGTTTAAACGTAGAATATAAGTGGACCAGTTCAAGTTTTTGTATTCCTTGTAGCATACAAAAGAGAAACAAACTATAATAGACAGAAATGTGAAGAAGAAAAGTATGACGGTTTAGTGGATCTCAGAGAGTGAATTCATCTGCGCCATTGTGAACGATTTTGAGCCATATCACCAATTGTCTCCATCCATTAGTTTATAGCATCTTGTGGACCCTAACCAGTCAGCCTACACCTCTCATATCTGGCTCAAACTAACAGAGGTTTTATGGTCTGAAACCAAGTTTCAGTTTGATCATTTCCGACTCCTTTTCAATCTAATCCTGAGTCCACTAACGTTGCTGCTAGAGAAAAACGATTGCTTGGTATGCGCAACACGTTTTTAGCCATCTCAATCCATGGAGTCATACAACTCCATTGATTGACTTACCCTCCTCGCCTAACCTGAATAGTACTCACTGTACTATGCCACTTAATACGGGAGATAGAACACAGACACGTGGAGTTAATGACAGCTAGTCTCTTCAAGTCTTCTGC